TCTGCTACCTTAGTACTAAACCTATAAATATATTTCCTCATCATCATAAATAAATATATTTACATATGTACATGCCTGTGTTTAGACCCTCTATAAATGCCCTTACCTCCTAGTTCTTTCCTCTATTTCCTTTTACTTTCCTCATGTCCCATTATCATGTTCAGCCTTCATTTGGGTTGCAGCAGTTCCTCTCGGTTACATTACCCTTGCTCAAGCCTTACCAGGCCTCCTACACCCTCCTTGCCACCATTTTTGGATCACTTGTTATTCCCTTGCCCCTGAGTTTTCAGCACATGTTTTAATGAAGTTTTTGTGGTAAAATTAGGTGCCTCAGCTGATATCCGGGTCGGCTTATACTTAAGTATATATGGTAATTACATTCTCACAAAAATCTTGTAGATAAATGCTTATAGTAGCTTTATTTGTAGTAACCCTAAACCAGAAACAATAAATGCCCTTCTGTGAATGAATGGTTAAATAAATTATAGGCTATCTATACCATGAAATATTTATGAAGCAATTAGGAGTGAACAATTAGTTCACCTTACAACCTGAATGACTGTCCAGAGAATTATTCTTGGTGAAAAGAGCTGATCTGAAAATGTTGTGTTCTGTATGACTATGTATATAATAGCCTTCTTGAAATGACAACATGGCCAGGAGGGCTGACAGATGGGAGGCTATCCGGCACTCAGGAAGGAGGGGAGGGAAATGAGTGTAATTATAAAAGGGCCTTGTGAAGGATGTAGTAGTGAAGACATTGTTCCGTATCTTGGCTTTATCAGTGTTCATACCCTGGTTGTGATACTGCACTATGATGGTACCAGTGAGGGGAATTGCATGTCTCTAGTGACAACCGATCTCTGTATCCTTTCTTAGAAATGTATGTGAAGCTACAGTTATCTCAAAATAAAATGTTTCAAGAAAAAAAAAAAAGCCAATGAGAGAATCAATATTGTGCCAGCCGAATAGGTACAAGGTCACACTCACCTACCTTTCCTTTCCTGCTGTTTTAGAAGAGGAGCTGTCTGAGCATAAGGCCCTTTGTGCTCCAGGTCTTCCCATCTTCTCCAGCATGTTCAGGAATTCCCCCTTACATGGTTTCCTTTTTCTGTAACAACCACAGAAGCCTGTCTTTCCGCTTTCCCCTTCACATTGACTCTGCTCACACCAGGAGTCTTCGTCAACATTGATTTCTTCCGCAGCTTCTCTGCATCCCATCTGCGAGGCCTGCCTTTGCGCCTCCTAGCTGTCTCTGGGATTCATCTGTGTTGCTGCCACTTAGTTCAAGCTGCTGCAGCTGTCCCCGCTGTTCTGCAAGCCTCCTAACTCTTCAAGCCCACTTGTACTCTGGCCTCATTCCAAAGGATGGTTTGGAATCTTCAAAGTACAGTCTTTCAAAGTTCAGATCTCACGCTCTCATTTCTTAACCACTTTTTAAAGGAAGCTTAGTGGTGCATTGAATTAAGTGTGGGGCCCTTAGCACCAAGGTCGGTGGGACACACAACCAGCCGCTCCTCTCTGTGGGAGAGAAATGACACTGATGGCTCCCATAAGGTTCACAGGCTTGGCCACCCAAAGGACAGTTTTACTCCGCCCGGTGGGGTCACTACCAGCTGGAATCTACTCAACGGCAGTGGCTAATCGCTTTTTTAAAACCAAGGATTCAAATTCTTAATATGGCTTTGACTCTGCTTACACTTTGCCCTAAGGGTTTCTTTCACATCCTCAGGTATGCTGTGATCCTTCCATGATTCCTTTTGCTAGTCTTTCCTTCTGAGGTTCCTCCACCTACCATTTAGTTCATCCTTCTCATTCCTCAGATCTCTGTTCTTGGGTGGTGGCAGGCGGGAAGCTCACTCTCTTCATCCTTAATTTCCCAGCAGGGACTCTTAGTGTAGGCTTTTCATCTTGTCTCTGTTTCCCAATGAAGAGTGTTGG